AACCAGTTGCAGATGATGCAGGATTGTGTTTTTTTTTAATCAAACTGTTTGGACCTGTTCTGAACACCTCTGTGACTGAAACCTGAACTTTCTTGGACAGAGATATACATACTTCTGCAATGCCACAAAACCCTTTAAGGACTTTTGGTTTTAATTTACTCATAACACATATAGCAATTGGATTCTATTTGCTAATGAAATATGACAGACAGTATTTTAGAGAGAAAAGGTGAAACAACAGTTGAGTTGCCTGAGTACAGCAGCATTATTTCTTCATCAAAACATGGTGAGTAAAGGATAATTGCGTAATACAGATGTGCATGAAGTCAGTCCCAACCATTTTACACAGTGTGGTCTCCAAGCAACTAATTACTTATATTAAACAATTGTCTCTTCTTTCTGTGGATTTTTTTCTTTGAAGTTATCCATGTTGAACAAACACAATTTTGCTCTATGATTGCTGGTTATTGCTTCATTTTACTTTGGCTTTTAAAGTTACATTTAGAAGAAAAATAATTGTGATTATCACATCAGTTTGTTAGCAACATATAAGCTTGATATTGAATCTATAAAAATGAATTTGCTGTTGCATAAAGCAGCAACTTTTCCAGTCATGTTATTCGAGAAGAACCTGTTGACTTCTTTTGATAATAAATGTAGCTGTATATCTACCTCAGCTGCACTTAAACTAGCTCCTTCCCTTACCAATAACTGTCACTTCAAAGTGGGAAGACATAATGTACAATTTATTAATGGCTCATTGGCTCTAGACCAAAAGGCCTGGGCTCTCAGTGCAGCATGCTTCGCCTTAGTATGAACATCTAATCAAGATTGCCCAAGCCCCCACAATAGCAGCCAAATGCAATTCAACAACTGTGAGCCTTTGAAGTCCTATTGCAGATTTCAGTACCCAAGCCTCGGATAATAGCATGCCATGATTGCTAGCTTTGTTGTATATGCTCTGTGGAGAAGTAATTACGGACTCGATTTAACAGAAAGAACATTACACAGCTTATGATGCTCAAAATGTAACTTCATTTGATCATTTTCTCAATTTGATTGGTATTATTAGAATAGCTCATAAAAGATGTTGTAGGAAACATGGGCAGAGGTTGAGGCCTGCGTCACAGTGAAAGAGATAATGAGGAACTATGTTGTGATTGTGTCTGAGCAATCAACACCTGAAATAGACGCTGCCTCTGGGAGTCCTTTCAAGCAGTGTACATTTTTCAATGTTATGACTACAGTGTATTTTGAAATTCTGAACATAGTGTATTTTCATTCAATAGAGAGGAATGAACATTTGAACCATTCCATTGCATTTTAGAAAAATAAACTTATAAAGTACAGAAGTGATTTTAAATAATGGATATCATTCTTGTAATCATTATTTCATAATTATATTCACTTATTCAGATGAACATGAATAGTACGCCAACTTGTATTGAATTACCTCAGTTCCACCTGCAACATTGCATTCCTGAATTCAAACAATGAAAGATGTTCCATTTTGTGGGATTTTAGAATTAAAATTGACATCACCTGTGCAAAAAAGGAACAGGTAGAATAAACAGCTTTCCTGCTGATGGTGTTTGATATTAAGGGGGATCTTTCAGTAAACAACACTTGCTAATTCCTTGCACTGATTACAGGTTTATGCACAATATCATAAGTAAAGCATGATCTTATTTTATACATAATGCATACTTTTCCCTGATTAGACTTGTTTTTTAAATACTGATCAATTCCTGCATATTGTAAGTTGGTATGGTTGTGCACGATAGTGTGTGTTGGAGATGCTCATGTCCGGCAAACAATTCTGCTACATGACAGGTCTGGTAGTTTTGCCTGCAATGTTTTGTGTCACACATAGCTGATTCATATTTTACATTCATAAATGGGCAAATAGTTGCAGCTGAACAGGAGGTTTCCAATTTAATCAGCAAATACTCAGTAGGAATTAAATGACTAAATCAATAAATAGAAAGAAGGGAGATAACAAGCCAAATTAGTCTCACAATTTAGAATAAAAATGTTTCCCCAAATTTTCTGGAACACATTTTAGTGGATCATACTTTTGTTTGAACTTTCCAGCTGCCTACTCAGTTCACATAGTAACTAAGCTGTAATTCACCTGTGGCATAGCAAGATCCTCATGGAATAAATACGGATACAAGTGCTGAAGAAACTACAGAGTGCGAAAGGACTTATTGGAGGACTTTTTAAATGCATTCCAAATAGCTACAAAAGGCATCTTTTTAGTTAAGTCTAAGCAAACATTGATTTTAAGCTTTTTAGTATAAGCGGTGGTACAGTATAAGGCTTTTTAGAGAAGTTCTGCTGAATTGTATTTTACAAAATCTTGCTGAAATACAATGCAGGAGCAATAAACTAGTAAATAAAGAAAACATTCAAGAAGGAAATGATTAAGCTAAAGTGTAATAGATTTCTTGTACTTCTTGCAGCTGGTTAGGAAAATATTACATTATTTACTTATTTTCAGCAAGTATTAATTACTTTGGCACTAAGGAGGTCCTGTACAGATGTCTTTCCAAATACTTTAGGTGGAGTTATTCAGTGCTGTACTTGCTATTCTGGCTTTCATGTACAGTTTCATTTTTTTCCACTTTTTAGTAAGAAGGACTGTAATGTTTAATTTTTTAAACTTTGTTTTCCTTTATTTTTCTATTTTGTAACTAAGATTCTGTACGTAGGTACCTTTGTACCTAAGATGGCACCCTAAGTAGCAACTTGTAAACTTTTCACTGTACTCATGTGAGTACATGTAACAATAAACCTAATTCAAATTAGTGGTTTAATTTCTGATTCACTTTTAGCTACCAGAGTGAGTTGTGCCTTGCCTCATCTTTTCTCCCTTATTTACGAAATGTAACAGGCAGAATCTTAAGTATTCTTGGATGTGTCAATTTTGTCAAGTTTCTTGGAGGGTTTCTCATCCTGAGACCTATCAAGATCTCCTGTCATATCTTATCAAATTTACCTTGTTAGATAGGTAAACCTCTCTTCTGCCAGTTCTCCCTCCATCTTTCCATGCTCTTTTCCTGGGAAAATCTACTTACCAGATATTTGATATGAAAGACTATCATCTATATTTAAAGGCCTATATGCATTTCAAATTATGATGAACATATATTCAGAAAATGTAGAAGTAGGAGAAAATGGTGCCACAGTTCTCTGAGGAGGACCTGTAGTCCAGGTGGACAAGGTTATATAGAGGAGGGGTGTCCTTTTCCCAGAGCACTGGCAGTGGAAGCTACAACACTAGACCTGACAGTCTGGTCCGAGGCCACTTCTCATATCAGTGCATTCTCTATGATCCAGAGGAACAGCCAGTGATGCTGCAAGCGGGTTTTGCATTCCACCAGGGTAAGACCACACTCTTTTCTGCTACCTGACACTCATTGTATCTCTGCTCCTGCTCTCATCTCCTATCAAGCTCATGCTGTGCCACGCTATGCACCAGGACTTATCCAGGATATGCTTGGTGGTATCTACAGGCATAAAACCTGTATCAACAGGAATTTAAAGTGGGAGCTGTAACGGAAATGCTCAGAAATGTATTTAAAACTAAGCTTGAACAATTAATAATACGCCCCTCCAATGCACCCCACAAACTCATATTAGCAATTAAAAGTCTTTGAAGCATTAGAAATAGGGCGTTTCTTTTAAAAACACCATAAGCTCTTAAAAAAATTACCATAATATAGTAAGCATGCTGACCTGAAGGGGAATACTGGAGAAAGGAACTTTGAAAGAGTTTGGTCTCACCAGTCCTTCTCTCCAGCCTTACTTATGATTTTCTGTGTTAATGTCTTGCTTCTCACAACCAGACAGGAAATCATAGCTGCAATGAGACTTACTTTCTTCATGGTTAGCCACACTTTCGTGCCAGTCGGCAGCTTTCTGCACCCTGGCTTCTGCTGTAGTATTCTAGTCTTCTACTCACCCAGTTTGAAAGGCAGGGAGGAGGGACAGTGGCATGCACATGAAGCCTGCAAGTTAAAATCATCTGAACCATGCTGCCATAGTTGGGCACATTTGGAATGTCTCTCTTCTACACACCCCCTTCCCTATCTCAAACAATCCAATTTACACTCGCAGTTAAAATGACCCCTTTATGATAATGGCAATATCTGTTTAGATTTGACATCCATCTGGGGGTGGGGGGAGGGGTGATAGGAGGTGAGGTGGCAATTTTTTTTTGTTGATATTCTTTTTCTGAAGTTAATGTGCTGCACAATTCACTTTATTGGGTCCAATGGGTATAACAGCTGCACCTTCCAAACATTGAATTAAGTGGTTGGATGATCATTGTAAGGAGTATTCTGCTTCAATTAGACATCATTGGTGATGTGCATTCATCTCAGCAAATGTGAATTATTGAAGACTGATTAAAAATACATAATTATTGCTTCATTCCTGAAGTGCTTTATTTAAGCACTCTCTTTATCCTCCAAATTGAATGCCCCTGTGACCTTTCACATAATTAATTTGCATTTGTTGATTGTTGTCTTGTGAACGTGTATGTGAAATGATAGTACTATTCTCAGGTTTTTATACTGTTCTGAATGTGGATGCAGTTGTCTCACAGTGGACTGGATTTTGCTGTGAAATTAACAATGAGGCTAATGGCACTCCGTTACTTATGCACAAATCAAATAGTAACTTGCAGGAAGCATATGTTAATAGTTAAATGTGAAAATTTGGAAGTTGCAGTCTTGAGGTACACCTCTTGTCTGAACCTTATGCAAAACCAACCTCTTGTCATTTCTCCACATTCAAATATATTAAATGGTGTGAAACTGCTGTTCTAAAACTTTATGAGAAGAGATACTAGATTTGAAACATTAACTCTACTTTCTTCCCAGAGATGCTGTCAGACCTGCTGAATTTTGCCAGCAATTTTTGTTTTTGTTTCAGTATGTACTTTATGTTTTCTTGCATTTTTCAATGACACTAACACTTGTTTACCTTCACAGTTATCTTCTGCTAAAAGTTCCAAACTCATGAATACTGATCAGTCTATCCAACATGTTGTGGATGGTGAGGAGAGCAGTACCATTGAAATGAAGTGGAAGCAAAAGGCACAGAAGTTGCAGGTTAGGTTACTTACAGTCTTATTATTTTAATATGCCATAAATTTGCAACTTCTCAGTTACTGAAGCAGTCGATTTTCAAATGCAACAAGGCCTGGACATCTCTAATAAGAAACAATATAACCACCACCCCTTGACATTCAATGGTGTTACCATCACTGAATCCCCCACTGTCAGCATCCTGGGGGTTACTATTGACCAGAAACTCAGCTGGACTCGCCACATAAATACAGTGGCTACAAGAGAAGGTCAGATGCTAGGAATACTGCAGCAAATAACTCATGTCCTGACTCCCAAAGCCTGTCCATCATCTACAAGGCACAAGTCAGGAGTGAAGTGGAATACTCCCCACTTGCCTGGATGAGTGCAGCTTCAACAGCACTCAAGAAACTTGGCACCATCTGGGACAAAGCAGTCTGCTCGATTGGCACCACATCCACCAGCATCGACTCACTTCAACACTGATGCTCAGTAGCGGCAGTGTGTGCTATGTACAAGATGCATTGCAAAAATTCACCAAAGATCCTTAGACAGCTCCTTCTAAACCCATGATCACTTCCGTCCAGAAGAACAAAGGCAGCAGTTACATGGGGCCACCACCTGCAAATTCCCCTCCAATCCAATCACTGTTCTGACTTAGAAATATATCACTATTTCTTCATTGTCAATGGGTCAAAATTCTGGAAATTCCTCTCTAATGGTACTAGGGGTTTACTTATAGCACATGAGGCAGTTCACCACGACCTTTTCAAGGACAAATAGAAGCATGCAATAGATGGTGGCTAACCAGCAACACCCACATTCCACGAGAGAATTTTAAAAAGGGACATGTTCTCAATTTAGGTTAAAAATTTGATCAAAGTAATCACTAATATCCAAAATTGATCTTTTTTCTAACACTAAACGTGACATTTTGAACATGGTACAGCAATAGTTTTACAGATTTCCCATCCTTGAACACAGAATATGGCGCTGACCATGTCAGTATTCTGCAGTCTTTTGCAGTTAGAACAGTGATGATGCTTCACATAAAGTTCAAGAGCAACAGATATTTAATAGGCAGTAAAGAAATCATAAGCAGTGTTAAGGTTGTTATGTTTGTTAATATTCTCATTATAGTTGAGAATGCTTCAATAGTCCCAAGATATGGACAGATTGTTGGTGCAGAAAGTGTATCACAGTAGCTTGTGATGATAGCATTCTTCTCTCTGAATGTTCCCTTGGTCTTCCTTCATCTTTCCTGGTTCACTCTCCACTTGAAGAAGGCAGCTGCCTGACTAGCACTGCTCTCATATCCAAGGACTTGTTAATATAATTTATTTCTAAATGCTGGTAATGTACTCAATGTTAGTTATTTATTTGAACTTTCTAATTAATACAGAACAGGTAAGGAGAATGTCAGAATGGTCACCTCATACCCAGTCTGTCACTCAGTTTTCCTTTCAGCTGAAGATCTTTTCCTGATCTTCCTAAACACTTATAGAAATCAGAGATGACACAGAACATCAGATAAACTCCTTGATCTCAGTTCAGACATCTTTGAGCATAATCTTATCTCTACCTTGTTTTGGTTCCTTCGAATTATTTATGTTTTTCCAGAGAGAGAAAATTAATGCTGTACCAGGTAGTTCTATGAGAGTTCTTTACTATATGAAAAATATTATTTATTAGGGATTCTATATTTTTTACAAAAATGCTAAAGCAGTGGTGTCTTCGTACTTCTTGCAGACTGTGTTCCCTTCACCTGTGGCCATGGCACAAATGTTATTCCCTGTTTTTGTTCTTTTTTATTTATTTGTGTAATATGGGCATCACTGGCTGGTCAGCATTTATTGCCCATCCCAAATTGTCCTTGAGAAGGTGGTGGTGAGCTGCCTTAACCAACTACTGCAGTCCACCTGCTGTGGGTTGACTCACAATGCTATTAGGAAGGAATTTCCAGGATGTTTACACAACAACATCGAAGGAATGGCGATATATTTCCAGGTGAGGATGTGGCTTGGAGGGGAACTTGCAGATGGTGATATTCCCATGTACTTGCTGCCCTTGTTCTTTTAAATGGAAGTAATCATGGGTTTTGAAGGTGCTGTCTAAGGATCTTTGGTGAATTTCTGCAGCGCACCTTGCAGAAAGTAGACACTGCTGCTACTGACCGTCAGTGTCGGAGGGAGTGGGTATTTGTGGATGTGGTGCCAGTCAAGTGGGTTGCTTTGTCCTGAATGGTGTCAAACTTGCTGAGTGTTGTTGGATCTGCACTCATCCAGGCAAGTATTCTTGATTTATGCCTTGTAGATGATGGACAGGTTTTAGGGAGTCGCACGGTGTGACCCTGCAATTAGCACAGGCAAGGGACAGTGGAATGTAGACTGTGTTAGGAATTAGTCCCTCCCTTTCCTTGCTTTATTTTTCTTTAGCATAAAACAACACAGGACTGCTTTTTGGATCGTCCCATATTTCTTGGGCAACAAAACAGTCTTATTGAAACCAAGTAAAATGACAACTTTTTGTTAAATAGCCCCTTTTAGTGGAAAATTGCTGGCTGAAAGCAGAAGCTCACCACTTGCAAAACCATAGTTGCAGATGCGCATGCCATTTCTCTTTGGCAGAACATAAAATAGCAGACATCACTGCACAAAAGCTGGCTATTCAGCCATTTGTGCCTTTACTGATGCAACATGGTATGCATGTTTATACAGGTTCCTTCAGTTACGACTCTGTCCATAAATTGTATCATGTAGATGTTGGATATAGATCAGGCTGCCAAGGCCCCCATACCACTTTCAATTCTCCATTGCAGATAATAATTTTTCAGGCAGAAAAGGCGCAGTGTCAGTTCAAAATCACCCATGATATTTGTGTAGTAATACATTGTAATTATGTTAATTTTTAAAATTCAGAACCAGAAAGCAAAGCAACTATCTGCTCGGAAAAAAGGATTGACCAGTGTAGTGAAAGAGAGATCCTCAAGACCTCCCAATCAACCTTCCAGTAAACAGCAGATGCAGAAATCCCAGGTTTTTGAGGACCAACCACATCAGTTTGAAAGCATAGTCCATCCGAATAAAAATGCATCTGAGTTGCTAATAATTCACAAAGATGACAACAATGTCTTGTTGACTCCTAGCAGTGACCAAACATTTACTTCATCGTCTGTCAATCAAATTGGCCCGGCCTTTGTTCCGAATTCTCATCCAACAGTGAATCTGAATATCAACTTAAATACATTGTCATCTGGTGGCAATACGCAGACCACTGTTAAGCTGGTCCCATCTCATCATCCAATGAGTCAAACTGCTTCTGTCTGCAGAGACCACAATATTTATAATACATCTCAAACTCCTGTTCCATATCTTCAGGAGTGTCAGAAGAATCCTGAATCGAGGATCTCTCACTTTCCAAACCAGCTCAACACGAATGCATCCCATTTTTCAAAAACTTTGTACGTACCAGAAAATGCCCAGCATCAACTTCTGTGTAACATACAGCCCCCTTTCTACACGCAATATGGAAAAACTGAACATAGCCAGATGTTGAATCCTAACTACCATCAAGCTGCTCATGCTAGAACATTAGCACCAGGTCTTTGCAATTACTCTCATCTGCAAAGGACAGACATTGCTGCTGGAAATTCACAATTCTATCCCATGAATCAAGAAAAAATGACAAGAGAGGATCACAATCAGCTTGGAAAGAAATATGGGAATTCAAGGTAATCAAGAAACAATAAATGTATAGCAATGTCTCAGTCACCTTTCTCTGTGTTATTTACAATTAGCGAAAATCTGCTTAAAGAAAGATCAGTTATGGCAAGAGATCCGTATTAAAAATACATTTCATTTATCCATGATTTATGATATAACATTTACTCACTTTTTCACTCACACATGATCCTTTAGTATACACGAAACTTGATCAAGATTTTTTATCTTGCGTTGAGACACTGATGCTGGGTCAAATGGAAGTCCTGACTCCATACTGTGTTGGAAACAGTCACTCAATATTGAATTTACTTGAATCAACCAATTAATGATCAGAGGCCTGCTTGTTTAACATCAAGTTAACTGCAGGAGGAAGGCTTTAAGCTTCTTTTTAATTGCCTTTGGAACATAGGTGTCATTACTAAGGTCAGCATTTTCTGCCAATCCTTCATACTACTGTAAAAGTTGTGGTAAGCAATCTTCCTGTAGCACTGTGATCCAGATGCATAGGTTCACCCACAGTGCTAATATGGAGAAACTTCAAAAGTTTTAATACAATGACAGTGAGGGAATGGAAATAAAGGCCCAGATTCTCCATTGGTCAGGCAGGTCCGTTTGGCTATCGTGGATGAGAGTTGTGCACGGAGACCCTTCAGAATTCACATTGTAGCAGATTCTTAAGAAATTGTCTAGCAAATTGAAGATTCCACTGGGCAATTTCTCTACGACTGGAACCCTTCAAAAGTCTCCAATTAAATTGGAAAAATCAGAAGGTTTCAAAGAAATTATGTAAACAGTTACTCAGGAGAAGTTAGACAATTAAATATGTAGACTACCTTCTGAGTAACTATTCAACTGACCCCATACTTAACTCATAGAACCGCACTTACATATCAGATCACTTATACCCTTGACACCACACCATTTTGGACCCAACAGCCCCTATCCCCACATTGCACCAACACCCCTTTCTCCATTGCTGAACCTGCTCCCTCCCCTTGCCACCTTGCACCTGACACTTGACACACTACACCTTCCCACTTGATATCTTACCTGCATGGCACCCTGTACCCAACCCAAGTGGCTCCCTATCCTTGCTGCACCCTAATATCACACTTACCTTTTGTACTTGCTCTTTGACAAATGCTATCGAATTTGCCAACTGAACTTACAAAATTCAGTGTACGGCAGTTGACTGCTTTATAAAGGTGTGGTTTGCCTTACCCTGACACTTCTGCACTACAAGAGAATTGTCAGAATAGCAGTATGACTCCGCACTTCTGAAGGACCCCTGATTAATTCTTTACATAAAAAAGAAAGATAGGAGTGGCAATCTTTGTGTGATTACCACTCCTCAGAAAATCCAGCCTCTAGTTGCTGATCAGGATAGCGAGTAACTTGAAGAAAAACTTACAATTGCTAGTGCCCCAATGAAGATGTTATCCTTGTCCATCTAGATAGTATAATTCATGGGTTTGAAAGGTGCTCTTGAAGGACCCTTGGAGATTTTGCTGTGGTGCTGCAGTATGGTATACAGTGCTGCCACTGCGCACCTGGAGCGAAGAGAATGAAGATTTAAGATGGTGAATTAATTAAACATCTCTGTTTTCCTTCTTATCCAGTCCTGAATTATCGTAGATATCCAGGGTTCTCTTGGCTTATTACTACTGCAGTTCACCCTAAGGGGAACATGTTATGCCTGCACACTTGCCAGCTCCATTTTGAATACTGCCCCCCGCCCCCACACGTTGTTCTGTTGTAGATTTGCCCAGAAGTAACTGTTCCCAGTCTCCTTTGGCCAGATCCTGCCTTATTATAATAAATATGCCTACCCCCATTCCAAACCCCTTTCTCACAGACCATCTTTTTCCTTTTCCATAACAAACTTAAAATGTACTTATTGTGGTCTCTATCACTAAAATGGTCTCCCACTGCCCTCAAACACCTGTCCAGCTTCATTCCCCAGAATTAGGTCCAACAATGCACTGTACCTTTTTGGGCATTCTACAGGTTGATACAAAAAGCTGTCCTGAATACATTTTTAAACCATTTACGTTATGACTATCTCAATTAATTTTGGGTTAGTTGAAATCCCCTCAAATAATTATCCTATTATTGTTTTAACACACCTCAGTGAGTTGTTAATATTTCTGCTCCCCTATTGCCCACAGACTGTTTGGCAGTCTATGATACACTCCCAACAGTGTGACTGCCCCATTTTTAATCCTAAGCTCTGCGCTCAAAGTTTCATTTGAAGACCTTCCAAGATATTATCCCTCCTTAATAATTTGACACCACCTCCTGTTTTACATCCTCCCCGTCCTGCCTGAAGATCCTATACCCGAGAATGTTGAATTATCAGTCCGGCCCTTCCTTCAACCATGTCTCTGTGATAGCACGAACAACACAATTCCGTGTGTGAATCCATGTTCTTAACTCATATGTCTTACCTATAATCCTTGCATTAGAGTAAAGGTTATCCACTCTTTAGATCCAAACAGTGGAGAATTCTCCCACTGAGTTTCATTGACTTCAGTTTCTCTAGGACACCTTGATGCCACACTCAGTGCTGAGTGACCTCAGAAGAACCTAAAATGAACATTGGTGACCAGGCTGTGAGTGCATGCTACCTGATATCACTGTTGGTGACACTTTCCATCACTTTGCTAATGATTGGGAGCAAACTAATGCACCAGTAATTGGCTGAATTGGATTTGTTCTACGGTGGAATAGCTGAAGAAATTTGCAAATTGTTACAGAAATGTCTATGTTGAAGCTGTCTGGGACCAGCTTGACAAAGTTAATTCTGGAGCACAAATCTACAGACCAAAGTATCACACCATTTTCTCCAGGTTTATTCAGAGGTATCTTATGCTGTTTGAAAACTGCAGAACCTCAAGATTGCATTAGTTTTGTTTTGCTCTTTCCTGGCTACCCTAGCTCCTAGTGCATTATCAAAGAGGTAATGGGGATATTTAGTGTGCAGCATGAGGGCCAGCTGTTTGTATTTTCAACTACATCTGTTGGATTGTATTAGATATCACTAAGGGGACATTGAGACATTTATAACACCTAATGGATGGATCATCAGTAACAAAATGCTAATTGAGATGAGAGTTCTTGGGTTGATCCACAAACAACCAATGACCCATTAGATAGCACGGAGACAAATTTCTCCTCCCTAAAAGGCAGCACTGTCACTGGTTTGTATTTATTGGTTATCCTTGCTTATGATGAGAGAGAAGTCCTGAAAGAAATAAGAATATCATAGACTTTTACACTTTAGTTAGCACCTTATATGACACTGTTTATTTGAGTTTTTAATATATCACTGTCTATTGCGTGGTTGTTTGGTTATTCCAAAATTATTTGGATCCTTGCCTGGTAAGATCGCATACTGCTGTTGCATTGCACTGTTCTTGTCCCATATGTAAAGAAGTTGATGTTGTCATTTAATTTCCATTTTTTAAAAAAAGTACTTAATAGTATAGGTTAAGTAAGCCATGTTTATTCAAACTGCATTGTCTCATTTTCGCTAATACTTACATAATATTTTCCAAATATTATGTATAATTGTAACAAAAATATTTTGAAGAAACTAACATAATATGGAATCACTCTTACAGTTACATCTGTTTTACTACAAGCAATTGTGACTACTTAAAACAAGTTGCTATTAATTTGCTGGCAGTCAGTTTTTAACTGGCAGATGGTTACTGTTCAGCAGTAGCTTTGAAAAGCATGTTGATATGTCCTATCATTATAAGAGCCATTTACTGATAGGGCAGCTAGTGGTACTGATTGAACACCTCATTCTTGTCTTTAAAACTCATTGTAAAATCTAGATGAAATTGGATGAAATGCAGCATTTCTCCAAATTAATATGGTAGATTGTTATTTGCAAATTATCTATAAATATGATAGCCCCTTTGATGTAACAATTGTTTGTCTCTTTAGCTAAAAGCTGTCAGGGAATTGATATTTTTCAATATCAAGTTTGATGTTCTGTTAATTTTTTTTCTAAATTATAGTAATGGCCAACTTTGGGGTTGTCTAATCAATTTCTATGATCTGATTTTATACTCTATGGTCCAGAGCTATTTTTTTAGCAGGCTACCTTTGTAGTGATTGCTATCCTGAAAGTTTCTAATGACTTACTTGGAGAAATCCACTTGCTACATGTAAAATAGTCTCGTGGGAGACCACCACTATAATTGAAGTACGATATATTAAATGCTGTTCCAGTGTTTACAAAGCAAAACAACTTATCAGATTATTTATTAATTAGACAGTTATAGGAAGGTCTAATTTTTGACCAACAGAAAAAGTATATTTAATTGATTATTGTGGCCAAAATGTCTCCCATTGGGAGATCATCTTTCTTAAACATGACTACTAAAAATTAACAATTTCTGATGCCCAACTAAACAAAATCCAAGTAAAGCATGCAATAGATTTCAAAAAGAAATAAAGAACCGTGGACGCTGGGAAGCAGAAACAAAAGCAGAATTTGCTGGAAAAACTCAGAATGTCTGGCAGCATCTGTAGAGGTACAACAGAGTTAACGTTTTGGATCTAGTGAGAAAGTTCTGAGGGAGGGCCACTGAACCTGAAAAATTAACTCTGTTTGGTTTCCACAGATGGTGCTAGACCTGCTGGGTTTCTTCAGCAATTCCTGTTTTTGTTTTTTGCATTTCATAGATCTCTTCTTGTACCATTTTTGGTGTTGGTGTGATATAATGTTTTTGCAGCACTGACAATAGAAACCGAATTTAACAACAAAAGCTAATTTTGGTCCAATTTGTGACTAACAAAACATTGTGAACCAAATATACACATTTTAATAATTTGAGAATGCTGCTAGGCACCAATTAGTATAACTGGTTCCAGTCTTTGTGTTTCTGTGCAGCCAGAAAAATATCTGTCTCAGACTCAGCTTTGTTCAGTATGATTGAAATCAATCTTATCCATAGGTACTCAGAGATAGTAGGAACTGCCGATGCTGGACTCTGAGATAACAAGGTGTAGAGCTGGATGAATACAGCAGGCCAGGCAGTATCAGAGGAGCAGGAAAGCTGATGTTTCGGGTCTGGACCCTTCTTCAGAGGTGGGGAAGGGGAAGGGGGCTCTGAAATAAATAGAGAGGGGGGAGGTGATGATGGAAGGTGGATAGAGGAGCCGATAGGTGGAGAGAAGACAGACAGGTCAAGGAGGTGGGGATGAAGCCGGTAAAGGTGAGCGTAGGTAGGGTGTTGGGATGGGGGTTGGTCAGTGAGGAGGGAGGGGCGGGTAGGTCGGAGGGAAGACGGACAGGTCAGGGAGGTGGGGACGAGATGGGCTGGTCTTGGGATGAGGTCGGGGGTGGGGAGATTTTGAAGCTTGTGAAGTACACATTGAGACCATTGGTCTGCAGGGTTCCCAAGCAGAATATGAGGTGCTGTTTCTCGCATCACCCCGTCAACCTCCGGATTCAACGTATCATTCTCCGCCACTTCCGCCACCTACAATTTGACCCCACTACCAAGGATATATTTCCCTCCCCACCCTTATCTGCCTTCCGGAGGGACCTCTCTCTACGTGACTCCCTCGTCCGCTCCACATTCCCCACTAACCCCACCACCCCTGGCACTTTTCCCTGCAACCGCAGGAAGTGCTACCCCTTCCCCCTACGCCTCCCCCCTCACCCACATCCCAGGCCCCAAGAAAACCTTCCACATTAAACAGATGTTCACCTGCACATCCTCTAATGTGGTATATTGTATCCGCTGTTCCCGATGTGGCCTCCTCTACATCGGGAAAACCAAGCGGAGGCTTGGAGACCGCGTTGTGGAACACCTACGCTCGGGTTGTGACAAACGACAACACCTCCCAGTCGCGAACCACTTCAACTCCCCCTCCCACTCCTTGGACAACATGTCCATCCTGGGCCTCCTGCAGTGCCACAACGATGCCACCCAAAGTCTGGACGAGCAGTACCTCATATTCCGCTTGGGAACCCTGCAGCCTAATGGTCTCAATGTGGACTTCACAAGCTTCAAAATCTCCCCACCCCCGACCTCATCCCAAGACCAGCCCATCTCGTCCCCGTCTCCTTGACCTGTCCATTTTTTCTCCCACCTATCCGCTCCTCACACCTCACTGACCAACCTCCACCCAACTTTCGACGTACTAGCCTCATCCCCGCCTCCTTGACTTGTCCGTCTTCCCTCCCACCTACCCGCCCCTCTCTCCTCACTGACTAACCCCCATCCCAACTCCCTACCTACACTGACCTTTACCAGCTTCATCCCCGCCTCCTTGACCTGTCTGTCTTCTCTCCACCTATCTGCTCCTCTATCCACCTTCTTTCATTGCCTATACCTCTCTCTATTTATTTCAGAGTCCCCTTCCCCTCCCCCATTTCTGAAGAAGGGTCCAGGCCCAAAACTGATGCTGCCTGGCCTGCTGTGTTCATCCAGCCCTATTCTTTGTTATATCCATAGGTACCATGTTTTGACAGGGAAATGTCAGCTTTCCTGCTCCTCTGATGCTGCCTGTGTTCCTCCAGCTCCACACTGCGTTATCTGTGTTTTGACATATGTTTTATTGGAAAACATAGACTGGAAAAATTGAAGTTTGAACTGCTTTGTTGCAGAGAATGAACCAGTTACTGGGCCACATTTTCTGAGGAGTGGCAATCTCACACTGGTTGCCACTCCATCTTTTATTTTACAGAAGAAGCGACCTCCACATTTCTGAGAGAACATTCTGCTCGGGTCTTCCTCAAAAATGTGGAGCCATTCTTCCATTCTGACAGAATTAAAATTGTCAGAGTTAGGCAAACCACATCCATTTATAACAGCAGCCAGATGCTGTATTCTGAAATTTAAAAGTACTTAACATCAATTTTAACAGCTGCTGTCAAATGAGTAATACATCCGCTAAGTATGATGTTGGTATTCTGGGAGGGTAAGATGCCAGGTGAGTGGGTTCACATTGATGAGGGTGCCAGTTAAGTAGGGTGCAAGCTGGCTAGAGTGCCAGGTAAGTAGGATGCCAGCTTGGAAGGGGGTAACATGCCAGTGGTAGGGTGCCAAGTGGGCTGGAGCAATGGTGTTAGGTGGGTGGGATGCAGTGGGAAGATGTAGAGCGCCAGTTGGTTAGGGTACCAGGATGCAAGTGGCAAAGAGGCCTCGTAAAAGTTTAGGGAGGTCAAACTGGGCTGGGGAAGGGTGAGTGTCAGGTTGAGAAGTGGTGGAGTTGGAGTCTGGCTGCAGCTGAGGGCAAGATCCAGTCAGGAAGATGGGAATGGGTCAGTGAGTCCAACTGTGTAGGGGTGTCAAGTCAGGTCCAACAGCATCAAAGTGGGGTGATGTAGGGGTCAATCCAGCGGTGGTTGCACATGGGTTCAGAGGTCGAGTCAGGGTCAACAGTTGTTGTGGAGGGAACAGGGCTGGTGGCACTACAGTTGGGGGGCATCAGAGGCCATGTTTGGCAATGGTATAGGGTATTGGATTGCCAAGCAAGGAGTGTTGGTTCTCCAGGGTGATGTTGGGCCTCCAGAGATGTGTCAGCCCTTGGGAGAAGGGGTATTGGATCAGGGTCTGGAAGGTGTCAGTGTTCTGTGGAAAGTGTAGTTAGGAATATGTGAGGTAAGTATGAGGTCAGTTTAATAGTTACTCAGGAGTTAGACTTTGGATTTCATTGTTTCTTTCCTGCGTAGCTATTTTACTTAATTTCATCGGAACCATCTGAAGTCTCCAGTTTTTAATGGAGAATTTTAGAGGGTTCCAGGCGTAGAGGAATTTCCCAGATGAAAATTCAATTTCCCTGACATTTCATTCGGAATGTGCTACGATTGCGAATCTGCAGGGCTTCCAAGCACAACTCCTACGTACGCTGGAATAACAACTGTCTGGCCAGTGGAAAATCTGTTAAAGACACTTGTTGGACAGATAAAGACACGTGTATATATATTAATATATATTATATATATGTAGATTTTAAGAAGCTGGATTTCAATACTTTATAGTGAGACATCATGGCATCAGATGAAAGACAAAAGTAATTGCCCATCAACAGGGATTGAATTGGCTTGAGTACAGTTTCTTGCAAACCTGAGGGCCAGTTGGGACACAGAACTCTAAATAGCTTCTAAGTAAACTAAATCATTCTGTCTTTTTCTCTGTCTTTAATTGGAAAAGAAATAACACTTGAAGATTTAAAAAAAGGAGGAAAACATCTGCTTCAAGCCAAGGCCCAAGTCCAACTGCTCCACTACCAAATTGACAATTGCAACAGTCAACAATATGATATCATTGCAAAAATATAAAAAACAAACAGAGAAAGATCATTGTTTCCCCTATTTTGATTGGACTCTGATCCACAGACTTTGTGCCTTTTTGCCCATGTTTTCCACCTAAGACATACCTTAAAGGGCTGCTTGTCCCATCTAAATGACCATTCTATGTGTGAGTGATTAGATTTAAAGGATGTGTGGTTTAACTTTGCATTAGTTATTAAAAGCCGTTTTTGCCACTTATTGGAGGATAAGTTAGTTATAATAAAGTTTCGGTTTTCTTGTTCATTCATTGAACTTGGTGTGAATTTATTTTATCTTAGATAACAGTCACAGTCAGGCATTAACCATCTGAGAGTTTAAATTGGTTATATTTCACTTTGGTGACAACTTATGAAATAGTGGGGTTTGATTTCTACTGCACTAATCTTACTAGGCTCGTAAGAGTATTTTAGTTGTTTTTCATCAGTTAGATGCTGGGTGCTAGAACCATTTCCCTGGCTTATTGTAACTGGTTAGACTGTATTTCTATTTTTGAAAAGGTGTTACAGGCAATAGTCAATTCAATAAAAGTTTAAACTTTTTTTATCTAGGTTCCCTCCTCTTTCCTTTCTGCCATCTTATCAGCAGCATTTGGTTCAGTCTCCTAGCACACGCCTCATTCAGCAAATGGAGCATATTTATGAGGGCACACCACGTCCGCTTCACACACACCCTGGCTGTCACCTGGTGCTGCCACCTATTGGCCTCATGAGAGAGAGTGACTCTGAACTAGACCAAACTCAGCCAAATGAGAAGAAAGCAGTGACAATATCACGCTGTAATTCGGATGGCTACTTGGCACAAATGGAGAAGATTAATAAGCTCAAAGGAAATAATAAGTACAAGGTACACACACATTAAAGTGGCTGACAGTTTCTGAAACTTTATATGGTAGTTATGAAAACAGCATCTTAATTAGACATTTTGTATTATGTATGGTAAAATGTTATTTACATCCTTCTTCATGGAATTTTTGTCACCCGATGATCCTACACAAAGATGTTTCATGTGTTTAAGACTGATGCTGATTTACCAAGCTTACATGATCTCATGCGCAAACCTTCTGTCTCACTCTTAAGAACTTTATTTAAATATTTTGGCTACAGTCGATGTGCACACAAACATAAATACTGACTTGGTTGTGTTTCCACATTTCTGATTTCAGGTTTACAGTATCCATGGTTTTTGTTTATATAAATAATGGAAATTTGTGGGAACAGAGCCCTTGTATAGAATTGGGGCTTTAGATTAATGAACAAAAAGAGTTTCAGCATATCAGCGTAAGAAAATCAATGCAATTTTTTTTAACAAGCATGCTGACTAATTTGCTGAATTTTCAGTTCTTTTAGTGTTCTCGTATTTATATTTTGTTTTAATTTTATCAGTATTTCTGACCAGCTTCTTCAGAAGATTTTTTTCGAAAGTACCGACTAACGTTTATATTTCACATCACTAAAAACAGATTGTTTGATAACAACCCATTTTTTGTGGAACCTTGCTATGCAAATTGGCCGCCTTCATATTCTATTTTCTGACATTGACTGGACTTTGCTTTGGGATGTCTTGAATTTGTGAGAAGTGCTTTATATCTGTTCTATATGTCAGTTCTTATTTTCAGTTCCTTAGAAGTACACATGATGGGTTAGACTTTTTGTAATCATTGAGGGTTTTGCCCACCAGTTGCAGAACTGGGGAGAAACTAGGATAACTTCCATGGCTCAAGCCTGACTAAATACTGATCAGCATTAAGCTTTCCTTGTAATTTAGGACCCTGGGGCAAAGTTCCACCTCCGCCTGGAGCTGTGAGTTAATCTGAAGCCTGTAGTTCGTGATTGGCTGCAGTGCCACCAGAAACAAAGAATAGTCGTGCTACCAAGACTTCACCATGGAGCTTCATTGGATCTCTGGATTTGAGAGTGAGCTGGCAGTCGTGGGATTGGATAACAGGAGAGAGAGTGTAGAAGGATTGGAGGCAAATGTGATGGGGTGCGAGCAGGCTTTGAGTGACCCCCTTGATTCCATTATTTGTAAACAGAGCGCCTAGTAATGAGAGACCCTCCCAGTAGTCTGCTGACAAAGGTGATGGGGTTTGCAAAGCAGCCTGAAAAGACACAGAGAGCTGTGTGACTGCTGTTCAGTCCCTGAATTCTCTAAATTCTGGAAGGCTCAGAGATAATTGGTGTCAAGTGGCCCATTAATGAGTCGAATTGATTTTCTGATACAAGCGAGTAGTGAGCATTGGCTGTTCCTGCCTATGATTTAATCACAAGACATTGCCTCCTGGGACTTGGTGTGCCCAGCTGCCATGTTTAAATCATCTAAATAATGCCTGTGTAGATTCCACTCCTCTGACACCACACTGCACCTCATTTCCTTTACTATGCCCTTTCCCACCACTCCTTCTAAGGTACCATCTTTTGCAAGTTTTTCCCTCACTGTTTATAGAATATTTCTAAGGATTGCTCACTTTGACCTGCTTCTGACCTCATTACTCTATTGCAAAGTTAATCTTTGGGAGAATGTAATTTACTGGAAGTTGCAAGGACTGGTATATGTATTGGCCATGAGTGTTAATGCAGTGAGACAAATATTGTTCAACTGAAGCTTTCTTCAGTGAATTATTGCAAAAGATCTGTAGCTGTTCACAAGCATTTTATGCTTTCTGATATTTTAATAATCTTAGTATCAGTATCATTACCCTTATCTTGCTGAAGATCCTTATTCAAGAGTGACTCCATTTATCGGTTGTGTGTCCAAAGTTCGTCACATGTGACAAATCACTGGCATAAAGATCACTGTTTCTAAGCTATGCTAGCTATTCTAGACCCAGCCAGAAGGCAGAGATGTTGCTTGACAACTTCAGTTCAAATTGACTTATAGATCTGATTTAACACTTTTTGACAGCTGAATCTGGGATGTTAAAGGAGTCATTTCATCAGCTTGCAGAGAATAGCTCTTATTGCAATTTGTAAAAGCAAGGGGCCATGTCTGAAGCAGCCCATAGGGGTATAAAGGGGAGGCAATGGCCTGGTGGTATTATTGCTGGACTATTTATTAATCCAGAAACCCAGATAATGTTCTGGGAACCTGGGTTTGAATCCTGCCACGGCAAGTGTCGGAATTTGAATTCAATTTTTTTTAAAAAATCTGTTATTAAGAGACTAATGATGACCATGAATCCATTGTTGATTGTCAGAAAAACCCAACTGGTTCACTAATGTCCTTTAGGGAAGGCAACTGCCATCCTTACCTGGTCTGGCCTACATGTGATTCCAGACCCACAACAATGTGGTTGACTCTTAACTGCCTTTTGGGCAATTAGAGATGGGCAATAAATGCTGCCTGGCTAACAATGCCCTCATCCCGTGAATAAATTTTAAAAACTGGTTTCAGTCAATGAACCATTGGATATGGGAAATTCTCAACCTGTTGTTGCCAGTTATCCATTGGAAAATCAAATAAAAATGTTTGCTTTAGCAATGAATGATAAATTGATGGCTCTGATATATTCTTTTACAATCTGAAAGAAGTTCATGGTAAAGAAACTGCTACCCTAGTGACCAAGGCTGCAAGGGGCAATGCAATTGCACTGGCAGTGGGTTGTAGGTCTTATTATGGGTTCTCCCTGGGAAATGTTAAAACATTTGCCCTGTTCCTCAGTGAGATCTAGCTATGTTGTCCTGGGCCTAGACTATGCTGGGGTGATTCATCCTCTTGTAGCTGATGTCCTTGTAGGTACAGCTCCAGAAAGTCCTTCTACCTTTCTCTGCTAATCCTTTATCTGTGGCCAGGTTAGCATTGACAAAAGGTCAGAAGTACCCTGTTAAGATTGCAGAAGATTCCCTGGTCTACACCTAAAATCAAGTAACAACCTAATACCATGATGAAGGTTCAGGACATCTCCCAATTTTTGCAGCATATTAAATTAGAGCAGGTGAAATCCGCATAAATATGAAAGAAAATGGCCAGCTCCCAGCTTGTATCACCCATAACTTGTGAGTGAATTGAGGAGAAAGTGCTGATTTTAATGATTCATTTTGTTAGATCCTTAACTGTACTATTTGATTTTTATTTAAGGATTTTAGGCCAGAAGTATATGTCCTTTTTTAAAGATATTATGATCACAGCTGATGTTATTACTAAATAAATCAGATCCCAGACTGAAGCCTGTTTGATTGATCATCTTTTGTTTAGTTTTAACAAAGCCGTCTCATGCTGAAACATAAGTATACGATGCTGCAGACTTTGTTTTCTATTCATTTTGTGGGATGTGGGCGTCGCTGGCTGGCCAGCATTTGTTGCCCATCCCTAGTTGCCCTTGAGAAGGTGGTGGTGAGCTGCCTTCTTGAACTGTTGCATTCCTCCTGCTGTGGGTTGACCCACAATGCTATTAGGGAGGGAATTCCAGGATTTTGACCCAGCAACAGTGAAGGAACGGCGCTATATTTCCAAGTCAGGATGGTGAGTGACTTGGAAAGGAACTTTGAGGTGGTGGTGTTCCCATATATCTGCTGCCCTTGTCCTTCTAGATGGAAGTGGTCGTGGGTTTGGAAGGTGCTATCTGAGGATCTTTGGTGAATTTCTCCAGTGCATCTTGTAGATAGTACACACTGCTGCTACTGAGCATCGGTGGTGGAGTGAGTGAATGTTTGTGGGTGTAGTGTCAATCAAGCAGGCTGCTTTGTCCTGGATGGTGTCAAGCTTCTTGAGTGTTGTTGGGGCTGCACTCATCCAGGCAAGTGGGGAGTATTCCATCACACTCCTGACTTGTGCCTTGTAGATGGTGGACAGGCTTTGAGGAGTCAGGAGACAAGTTACTCGCTGCAGTATTCCCAGCTTCTGGCCTACTCTTGTAGCCACTCTGTTAATGTGGTGAGTCCAGTTGAGTTTCTGGTCAATGGTAACCCCCAGGATGTTGGTAGTGGAAGATTCAGTGATGGTAACACCATTGACTGTCAAGAGGTGGTGGTTAGATTGTCTCTTATTGGTGATGGTCATAGCCTGGCATTTTTGTGGTGCGAATGTCACTTGCCACTTGTCAGCCCAGGCCTGGAAATTGTCCAGATCTTGTTGCATGTGAACATGGACTGCTTCAGTATCTGAGAAATCATGAATGGTGCTAAACATTGTGCAATCATCGGCGAACATCCCCACCTCTGACCTTATGATGGAGGGAAGGTCATTGATGAAGCAGCTAAAGATGGTTGGGCCTAGGATACTACCCTTAGGAACTCCTGCAGAGATGTCCTGGAGCTGAGATGATTGACGTCCCACAACCATGACCATCTTCCTATGTGTCAGGTATGACTCCAACTCCCGGAGTGTTTTCCCCCTGATACCCATTAATTCCAGTTTTGCTAGGGCTCCTTGATGCCACACTCAGTCGAATGCAGCCTTGATATCAAGGGCTGTCACTCTCACCTCACCTCTGGAATTTAGCTGTTTTGTCCATGTTTGAACCAAGGCTGTAATGAGGTCAGGAGCTGAGTCGCTGTGGCAGAACCCAAACTGGGCGTCACTGAGCAGGTTATTTCTGAGCAGGTGCTGCTTGATAGAACTGTTGCTGACATCTTCCATCACTTTACTGATGATCGAGAGGAGACTGATGGGGCGGTAATTGGTCGGGTTGGATTTGTCCTGCTTTTTATGTACAGGACATACTTGGGCAATTTTCCACATTGTCGGGTAGAAACCAGTGTTGTAACTGTACTGGAACAGCTTGGCTAAGGGAGCGGCAAGTCCTGGAGCACAAGTCTTCAGTACTATTGCCGGAATGTTGTCAGGGCTGGTAGCCTTTACAGTATCCAGTGTCTCCAACTGTTTCTTGATATCACATGGAGTGAATC